TCACTCAGTTGTTTGAAATATGAACTTATGCTCTACACTGTCACATGCTTCACCAAGACAGACCGGTACAGCGCCCGCATAACTGCAGACACAGCACCAATCAGCCTGTCGATCTCCTGCTCTATTTGTCCCTCATTCATGAACAAGACTCCAAGATACTCAAACTCCTCCACTTGGGGCAGGACCTCCTCCCCGACCCGGAGAAGGCACTCTACCGGTTTCTGGCTCAAGACCATGGTCTCGGATTTGGAGGCACTGATCCTCATCCCGGCCACTTCACACTCAGCTGCGAACCGCTCCAGTGAGAGCTGGAGATCACGATCTGATGAAGCCAATAAGACCACATCATCCGCAAAAAGCAGAGATGCGATGCTAAGGTCACCAAAAAGGATCCCCTACCTTGGCTGCGCCTAGAAATTCTGTCCATAAAAGTTATGAACAGAATCAGTGATAAAGGCAACCTTGGCGGAGTCCAACTCTCACTGGAAACAAGTCCAACTTACTACAGGAAATGTGGACCAAGCTCTGGCACTGTTCGTACAGGGACCTAATAGCCCTTATCAACGGGGCCTGGTACCCCATACTCCTGGAGTACCCCCCACAGGAGTCCCCGAGGGACACGGTCGAATGCCTTCTCCAAGTCCACAAAACACAWGAAGACTGGTTGAGCGAACTCCCATGCACCCTCCAGGACCCTGCTGAGGGTGTAGAGCTGGTCCGCTGTTCCACGACCAGGACGAAAGCCACACTGCTCTTCCTGAATCTGAGATTCAACTATCTGACAGACCCTCCTCTCCAGGACCCCTGAATAGGCCTTACCAGGGAGGCTTAGAAGTGTGATCCCCCTGTAGTTGGAACATACTATGCGGTCCCCCTTTTTAAATAGGGGGACCACCACCCTGGTCTGCAGCAGATGTCTGGGAAAAAATACTGTTATTGAAGGTGCTGTGTAAACAACCTGTCAGGTGTTAAGACACAAGTAAAACTTCTGCTAATGCAGTACAAACAAGATATTATTTACACAGGAATTTTCCACAGCTTTGTCAGTGAGTCTCCATCGTGCAGCACAGAGAGGTAAGGGTTAAATTTCATGCATTCCTTCAAGTCAAGTAAAACTTTATTATCCCCGAGGGGCAATTTGTTGCYCAGACAGCAGTGAAAAGAGAAAACACACACACACAATGTACAAAATTCATACATATATTCCATGTTAACACTTACAATACAGACCTGGAATTAATCAGGCCAATTGCAGCTGGAACAAAAGATTTTTTCCAGTCTGTTTGTCTTACAGGATGGCTGTCTGTATCTCCGTCCTGAAGGTAAGAGGGAGAATTCTCCCCACAAAGGATGAATTGAATCAGRTAGAATGATCTTAGCCTTCTTTAAAGACCTCACTCAGGTCATTTAGAGACATACCAGCAACCTTACAACAAATCTTGACATTATGCAAGCGATTCTTACATTTGATGGAAAGTGACCCGTACCAACAAATAAAAGCAAAAGTGAGAACAGATTCAATAAAAGCAGAATAAAACATCTTCATAAAAACAGGACTGACATTAAAAGAACAAAGGTTGAGATAAAAATGCATCTGCTGGTATGCTTTTTTAARCACACAATCCACCTGTGACTCAAAACTCAACTTTTCATCAATAACTACTCCCAAGTATTTATATTGCAGCACCAGCTCCACTGTTTGATCATTAATTACCACCGGGGAGATTGGTGTGATAATCCTCCCAAAGTCTATACAAATTCTGTCAGGTTTTGCAAGAATGAACTCAGGTCCAGACTGAGGACGCAGTTTTTAACTAAAAAAAGTTTTATTTAATAAACAAAGCAAAAAGCTGTCAGGGCAGCAAAAAGAAATCAAAACACAAGGAACACAGGGAAATGAGACAGGAGGACAAGTCAAACAATGAACCAGCGAGGAATGAACAGAAGAGAAAGGTATTTATACAGACTGATGACAACAGAAGATGAACAGCAGCTGAGAGAGACAAATTAGAAAGTACTGACAGGTGTGTGAATACTGAGGAGGGAAAAAACAGCTGAGGAGAAAAGATGAGTAATGGCACAGGGAAGACACAAGAGGGAGACTACAGACAAAACACAATCCCAACATTATCTCCACCTCAACGAATCGTCTGCGACGATTAAAGAACTAGCACGGGTGGGAGGTATTAAACASAAAGACAGGACGGAAGGCACAATACAAAATACAACAAGGAAAACACAAAAACAAAAAGACACAGAAAAATGAAACCAAAAACCGACAGGAAGTCCTGGGGAAAAAAAACAACAATAATAAACCAAAAAAGTCACAAAGATGGCCCTAGGCACATCTAAAGGGTCCAAAGAGTTCAGGTGGGCACCCAGGAACCCAGCACAGGCAAGGAAAGGGTTCTGGTGGGCGACCGTGGACACTGCCACAGCGGAGGCGGAGCTTGGGAGGACGGCCGCGGCGAGGGTGGAACTCAGGAGGCCGGCCCGAGGCCCGGCCATGGAGGTACTTAGAAGGGGCCAGCTCTGGAGACACTGCAGGTCCAGGAGGTCCAGGAGATGATGGGACTGCAGCAGGCGGCGTGAGCTCGGCAGGGGKTGCAGCTGGTTCGTGGACCACCTCAGGAACTGCAGATGGCTTCGAGGACTCAGCTGCAGGAGGGACCAGAGTGGACTCGGGAACAGAGACTGGCATGTACTCAGGAGACTTGGGCAGACCCAGGGACTTTACAATACTACCTGGGAGCTCTGCAATCTCTGGTACTGGCTCTGGCTCTGAGGGTTCAGCAGCAGCAACAGATGTGGAGGCCTCAGGAGGAGCTGCAGCAGGCATTGAGGGCTCAGCTGGTGCAGAGAGGAGGACCTCCACCAGGGCTGCAGTGAATATCGAAGCCAGCACAGAAACTGCAGCAGGGGTGGTCACACCACTTCCTCCCCACTAAGACCCTCCACACAGGAGGTAGCGGCGTCAACCCTCACCGGAGTGCAGGTGGTTGTAAAGGCGTCGACCCTCTTGAAGACGCTGCCAGCGCAGGAGGTAGAGGCATATTTATTTATAATAAACCATAAACAGTAACTTTATTCCCACCCACAAAAAAGAAAAAAAAATCTGTTCAAGCAACACAATGACAACCTGCTGATATCAAACAGAATTATCTCTTATTAACAAGCTGTCATCTCCATCACGATGAAGCGCTTCACTTTGTGTTGTGTCAAGCAGCTTTTCATTCTTTTGGCCACAGGATGGAGTCAAAGAGAGCTGTGTTGGAAAGCTTCAAGTAATGAACCCTTTTTCAAAGCAGTGCTTCAGAAAAGCTTCATTTGCCCATCTCTACATCGAGGAATGAACAGAAGAGAAAGGTATTTATACAGACTGATAACAGAAGATGAACAGCAGCTGAGAGAGACTAATTAGAAAGTACTGACAGGTGTGTGAATACWGAGGAGGGAAAAACAGCTGAGGAGAAAAGATGAGTAATGGCGCAGGGAAGACACAAGAGGGAGACTACAGACAAAACACATTCCCAACAAATTTCCTTTGTTTTAGTCACATTAATACTTAAAAAAGATTCTTGGCGCCAGTTTAAGAAATCATTGACAACCGGGCCATGCTCAGGGGTTTCCCTGCTGAGAAGTGACACAATGACAGAATCATCAGCAAATTTAATAATGTGGTGTCCACTATGATGGCTCTGGCAGTCGTTGGTATATAAAACAAATAAAACGGTGAGAGGACACAACCCTGAGGGGACCCTGTAGAAGAGAACATGGTCTCAGATAAAACACCATTCACTCTGACTTGTCTTCTCATTGTTAAAGAATCCATTAGCCAGGCAATAAACCTACAGTCAAAATTAAAAAATAGCTAAKTTATGTGCTAAGACATGGGGTTGGATGCAGTTAAAAGCAGAAGAAAAATCAATAAAGAGCAGCTTAACCAGAGGTGTAGTACTCTCAAGATGTTTAAAAACCAAATTAAGAAGTGTCCCAAGCGCATCCTCTACCCCTCTGTTTGGCCTATAAGCAAACTGAAAAGGGTCCAGTTTGTCCTTCACCATATCCAACAATCTCACCTTTAACAGTTTCTTAAATACCTTCATAACAAGGGACGTCAAAGCCACTGGTCGAAAATCATTAAGTGACTTTGAAACATTTGATTTTGGGACTGGTACAATCTTTCCACAGAGCAGGAAACTTCTGTAATTTTAAGGACATCTGGAAAATAAAACAGAAAACATCTGRAAGTTGAGAGGCACAGTTCCTAAGAACACGCCTGCCAATACCATCAGGTCCAGGACTTTTATTTTCTTTGACCCTTTGAAAGAGCTTTAAGGCACTGTCTTCATCAATGCTAAAATTATTTTGTACACAAGTAGAAATAGGATCTTTAAAACCAGACACCTCCTCACCAAAGTCCTGCCCATTAAAACGGTGATAAAACACGTTCAATTAATTTGAGAGCTCCAGGTCAATTTGCTCATTTAAGGAAATTGCACATTTCGTATTCTGCATCCCCATCATGCTTTTGACTCCTTTCCATGCAGAGCATGAGTTCCCAGCTCCCAGCAAAACCTCCACTTTATCCTTATATGCATGTTTACCCAACTTAATTTCCTTTTTCACCTCTTTATTGAGTTCCCTAAATCTATCCATATCTTTATGATTAAAACTGATATTCTTTGCACATTAGGACAGGTGGCACAAATGAAGGCTGAGTAAACACAAACCTGTTACCTGCTGAGATCAAAATCCAGAGCTGCAAGGTATAACTCTTGATATGTTACTTAAGAATTTTATGTTTGTTTTTTTTAGGGTCGATACTTGTTAATGAGTCACACGTACTCACAATGCTAAAGTTGTTTTTCAGTTTATGACACATTTTAACATTTGCAGGCTTCATTTACACAACAGAATCATATCTGATGACTATAATGTCAACTCTGCTTATTTAGATCACTGAGTTCCTTACAACAGAAATTCATTTCATTTGGACGATTATTTACAGTGCATGACTGCTTTATTATTTCATTGTGTACATATAAAACAAAAAAGTTGTAGATTTTTTTAATGTCAGACACACTTTGCAATGTTTGCTTTGTGAATTCTTCTCAGTTACATTTTAAAATTATCCAACATGCTTGCTGTGAAGAAGAAATTCGTCCAGGGGTCTCTGCAGAACTAAATCGGGATCAACCAGCCAGCATTGTGTTAATGCAGGAGGGGACACACTGTTGTCTACAGCAAAGTAACTACAAAGGAAAGACAAAAAGGTCAAACATCCTTTTTTTGAATGAATGAATGTAAAACGTCTCCTGAAGTGTATAAAATTTACCTTATGGAAGGAAACACTTGGCCATGGATTTTCAGTTGTGAAGACTGGGGTTTCACCTCATAATCTACAGGCTTTACAGCTGAGAAACAGAATTGAAGAATACCTCAAATTAACCAATAACCATTATACACTGCTTGACCAAAAAACAAAACAAAACAAAACAAACAAAACAAAAAAAAATCTTGTTCCAGTTTTTAATAATGCCTCAGACAGTTATTAACTCAAGTTTAGTAGTTTCTTTAATCTCCTTAGATGTTTTCTCTGGTTGATGCATGCCAATGATTTGACCCTGTGGTCGTGGAAAGGACTGACATCCTTTCCACGACCACAGGATGTCTTTCCACATGATTATTTAGGAAATGAGAAGCAACACATTGCACCAGTTGGGGTTAAATAACTTGTTGCTGAAAGATAATCGCCCATGCAGTAATTGTCCAATAGGAGCCTCGTACCTATTTGCTTTGTTAAATCCAGGTGGCGACAATGTTTTGGCTAGGCAGCGTATTTACCAGTGGAATAATTTTATATAGTTAACGATATTGTCCAGCCACTGGTTCATTACACATACTAGTTTTTAATCACCCACTGAGTTGTTTTTTAAATGACCAGTTGAATTTTTAATTATTTGCCAGGACATCTACAATCTTTACCTCTGAAGATACTGCACATCACAGCTTTTTTGCACCCCAACAGGCAAATGTGAAACAAATATAACAAAGTAATGCAGAGGTGTAAACAGGCACTTCCCTCACCTAAAATTCCTTCAGTGTTGTTGGCAGACGGCCTCTGTTTTAAAACTGGCCAAAGGAAATTCTTGCCATGCTTCTCGTGGACTAAGATGAGGATGTGCATGTCGTCGGAGACAACATCGATTTCTTTGTCCCTCTTGGTCACTGTCACACTAAAAACATGAACACAGCCTTGTTGACTAAAGGAATGAAAARACATGTAATAGTTGTCAATCCTGTCTGATAAGAATTATTTATTTTATGACTTTTGGCTCCGAACGTGTTTTTGACGACTGTAATTTACCTGTCAAAAGTCAAATGTGCTCGAACAACAGCAACAAAACAAAGTTATTCATATTCTGATGTAAATTTTTAATCACAGATTTTGTTTGTCAGGTCTGGGCAGTTTGAAGAAACCTTTTCACCAGTAACTAAAAGTGCATATGTTTTATTGTTTTGCCAAAAAAACTTTCATATTAGGTGTTTGTCATTTATTTGATTAAAAATTAAAATCCTATTGTGTTGATCTCAAAATGTCTAAAAACCTACTGCCCAGCATTTATAACTTTAAAGAATGTTCTTTATTAAAATTTTAAGGAATGTGCAAATGTTTTTTTATTTTCAATTGTCATACAGTCTTGTGTTGCTTGGACTTTCTTTCAAGCATTAAATAAGTTATTTCAGCAACTACTCAAGCTTTGCTGATATAATTTTAAACAAGCATTTTTAAACATGCAGCTACCAGGATAAAGACAAAAAACGAAGGCCAAAAAAGAGGTAAATTTTAGAGTTGAGATAGGTAACCCAACACACCAAATCGAGGATAAAGTCTCAAAAGTGGAGAATGTTTGTAATAACTGCCTTTTGTCAAACTACAATGAATAAATGCCTTATGCATCATTTGAATATAATCTTAATATAATCTTAATAATCTTGTTTCCAACTGGGAAATCTTACTATCCAAATACGGTTTGAGGTTTCCTCTTAAATGTCGTTTTGACCAAATTTGACCTAATCCTCTGTTTGATGTAGATGGAGTGAAGACAGAGGATGCTGAGGACAGAGTGAGATGAAGGAGAGTGATTCACTGTGGCACCTTCCAGCTGTGATCTGATCAGGTCCGGTGCTGCCTGTTGGTCCTGTTACAATTCCATTTCCATTAATTTGAATTTCACTGTTTTGCAGGTGGACTGTAATCAATCCAAAGCCACTGTCTGAATCTTTGTTTGGCTGACCAACGATAAGCAGCTCTGAAACAAAACATACAAAATGAAAGTTCACGCTGRGCCACAAACCAAGGCTTACATATACGTATTTGCACACTTGGATTCTTAATGATGGGTGTTGTTGATTAAATAATTTAGAGTGAAAAACGTGGAAAGATTACTGACGGCTGCTAGGATGGTGGAAAAGTTTCAGAGTGGTTTCTTCGTCAATGTTGAAGCAAAGTGGTAGAGACTGATTCTCAGCTTTCAGCAGAAAACTGTGCCTGGGCTGATCTGGAAGAAAGAGTAACACGTTGTGTTTATTCTCAACAAAAGGTTAAAGAGGTACTTATTCAATCCTATTTTCATTTATTTGTGACTAAACAATCCTAATTTAGTTTTTTTTTTATGCAAACAGCAACAAACAGATGCTTAACTGATGTTCTTTTATGCATTAAACCAGTGTTTCCCAAACATTGTGCCGCGGCACACCAGACCTTGTTTCTATGTTGGATGTTGTGTGAATTGTAAACTGTGTGAAGGCAAGACCTTTGAAAAGTTGTGTATTTGCATCTTCATGTGAAGAAATGGGAGCAGAACATACAACCTTGTTGCTCCATACGGACGTCTTATGGCTGTTATGCGGGAAAGTGCTGGCCCGTGTGTGTGAGCTGTGGGATGAACTTAAAARYTTTCTGCCTGGTGAGAGCTGCAATGATGCAAAGTTTCTCACAAGTGAGGAGTGGTGCGCAAAAGCTTGCATACCTGTCAGATGGTTTTCAGCATCTGAATGAACAGAACACTTGAATGCAAGGCCGAAACAATAATGCTCACAAGTACAGACAGAATAAATGGATTTCACTGAAAAGTATATCTCTGGCAACAACATCTAGAAAGTGCCAATCTGCTGCTATAAAAAAGTAAAAACAGAGAAAGAGAGGGAGCTGTTGAACCAGGGGTCTTTTTTCTGTTCCTGAAAGAATAACAGCTTTGTGTTCATCTAAACAGGCCCATGTTTCACACTAGGTGAGTAAATTCAGAGTTGTTGTCGATTGTGTTAAGCTACAACATGGCATTTTGTAACTTTTGGATTAGTGGTGTGTCTTGGGATTATTTTATTATTGTAAAAAGTGTGCGGCTGCTCCAAAAAGGTTGGGAAACACTGCATTAGACAAACTTCCTTTGTGATATAAGAATAAAAACAGAAGTTATAATAATGTGTTCCCTCATTTTACTAAATGGATTTACAATAAAACTGGAGGTGAAACGAGGGTTTAGGGAACATCTAGAGTGCAAAATATAGCTCTTTTATTCAATAACATCAGAATTATTTTCTGTGTATGGCCTAAGCCTTTGGTTCTCTGTGTACCCTAAATGGTACTCAGGATCTCACCCAGAGAAAAAAAAAGGTTATTAGCTATTTATGAGTTAAACAACAAGCTAATAACATCATAAACTTGAACCATGACGCAAAGCTTAAAAACTGAATCAGATAAAAAGATGTGAGATTCAAGCAAATTACAATCTTAGCTGCAAATGTAAAAGAATGCAGCAGTACTTGAAGGAAAGCATGTCGCTCGTCATCGTGCATGCCACGGTTACAAACAAAGATCTTGTGCAATCTGCGCTCTAAGTATGCGATGAATCTCTGTCACCGACAGTAGCTGTAACTTATCGTCATTTAGATGCGTGTGTTCATAAACTATGGCGTCCATTTTTAATCAGGTTGTCTCCAAATGTTAATCATGTCTGCTTGTTCAGCTGAAGTAAGACTTGGTTCATGAAATCAGAGTATTTACCTTTCTGCAGATAAACCGAGGAGATATTGTTTGTTTTCCTATGGGAATTTCTTTTGCTTGTCAGCTTTATTAAATCCACACAACATTTTATTACATATGGATTTTTACAACCTGTTTTTATTTCAACCGATGACGTCTGGTTTGCATTATTTCTCTCATGAAAATTTCCATTAAGTTTCTCTTTCTTTAAAATTCAGAACAAGTTTCACACTCAAAGTTTTCTCTCAACAGTAGATCTAAATAAAAATGATTTCACAATGCAAATGCACTTAGAGTGAAGTCTCAACTTTTTACAAGCTTAACTAATAAAAATACAATTAAAAGTCTCTCCTTTGCACAAAAGAAAGCATTACTGCCTGTTGTTTGATTACCTTTGTTCGCAGGACAAACACTAATCATTTCCAACAATCTTTTAATTGTTTGGCATAAATGAAGACATGTTTGATGCTTTGCTTTCMCCTGGATTTGTCATAATAGTTGCASGAGGAGAAGACAAATGAAAGTTCTTCAGTCTGAAGATATTTCACCTTTACAGAATTTTGCAACATTTCATAAAATGCATTTCAGAAGATTAATTTTATATTTTAATACTTTACCAGGTTTTCCTTGCACACGACCTTCCGTTATCCCAACAATAGAACCTGTAAGCATAAAATTCATAAAGGTYTGTAGATATTCTGATCTCATAAAGACTCATTGGTTGTTTAGAATAATCTATAAACAGAGGAGAAGCTTGAAATATAAAAAAAATATTAGCTGAAAACTCAAAATAAACTTTGCTGACTGTGGGTAGAATCTGGATGAGTTTTATTCCCAAAACTAAACATTAAGAATAATGATTTAAAATGAAATCAGTTAAATATAATTACTTGCTACAAGTAAAAAAGAATGACGTCTGTTTGCACCTTGAACATAAATATTCAAATTTCAAATTTAACATTAACAATATAAAAATYCTTGAAGTATGTAGTCAAAAATACAGTATCTCATCAAAACTTTACCATTCAATTGAAGTTAAAATTGCAAAATTTACAAATTCGATCTAAAACAAAAGCTGATAAGGAAAATTATGGATTTTGTTTAGACTACTCATGTGTTCATTCTTTTTTAGTGTTTAAAACCTGTTATATTCAGAAGGCAGTGATAATTATTAAAAAGTTATCATCTTAGCATCTGACTTAATTATTTAAATACTGAGTTAGTTCACGTTTTTTTTAATAATATTACTTTTTCTTTATGGGTTGAGCTGTTGTTACTTATTTGATGCCTAAAGAAACTCAAATACACAAACACTGGCTTCAATTTTGACTTCCATTTTTAACAGCAGCATTTTATTTTATTCATTAATGCTGATCAACATCAATAGGCATCAGGTGTATAAGAATCTAAGCATCTAGACTACACAGTTTGACCTACTACATATATTATGTACTTATTATATGGTGAACACAATTTTAACAGAGTTAAAAAGTCATTTAGTGAAARTGTTTTCAAATTACCTTATTACACAAAATACTGAATCTGTACCTAGTTTAGTGTTTGCCTMTCTTTTTTCAGGTTCTTTCTCAGCTTCAGGAGCTTTAAAAGTTGTGTTGGATATTTTGGGACTGAAATTTAGTCTTATTTTATACTTTGTTTCACTGTTGTAGTCATTTACTTTACAGAGGAAGAGAATCAACAAGTCTCTATTTAACATGTGCCTCACTRCAGCAAAGCAAACTTAATTCTTAAGATACCAGATTTGACATGTGTCACTGATGGAGGCAAACCAGACAGCAAAATTCAGTGTTGCAAGGAGGCTTTTTGTTGTTGTTGTATACAACAGATGCCAACAACCCACGGCTCCAGAGCTGCACGACTCTTTAAATCCTTGACAAATAAAAGAAGTATAGTATGAGTTTAACTTGGTATTGCTTCATCATTTTTTTATTGCACAGAGTTATTGAATCTCAGTGTGTTTTTATCAAAAAAATCTTCTCAGAGCCAGCAGGCATTAAGAAAAGAAAGCTGCCTCATGTGTCCCCCTCCCTGCAGATGCTGTCATCTCTGTCCCTCCGCAGCTGACAGTTCACTGTCAAGTTTGCACATGGATTGATAAATCAAGGCCAATGTCTCTTATTTGTAAAGTTTTACCTGGAAAAAGCCCACTGTGGTCCCAATATTGACACTGATTGTTTCCTTTCCTTTTATAAACTGTAAAAGACAAATACAACTAAACAGAGATGGTGTGTGTTATTCTTACCAAAACCAGTAGAAAAAGGAGGACCCATACCACCAAGAGGAGGAGGAGGAGGAGGAGGAAGAGTATAATGATAACGTTGAGGTTGAAGAGGAGGAGGAGGAGGAGGATGATGATAATGATAACGTTGAGGAGGAGGAGGAGGAGGAGGATGATGATAATGATAACGTTGAGGAGGAGGAGGAGGAGGAGGATGATGATAATGATAACGTTGAGGAGGAGGAGGA